GTTCCAAGGAGATTTGTATTATATCAAATTAATAATACTACTAATACCTACCTTAACCTGGCCCTAACTCAGGCTTTCATCCTGATTAAATTTGGATCTATTATTCATACAAGTCATTTTTATTATAGTGAAGAGATCAGGCTAAGAAAAAAATCTTCACTATAGCTTATATCGAGAGAACACTATATAAACTTTATTATATCGAGAGAAAAGTTAATAATAATGGCAATAAATTTAAAAAAAATTCTTCACTATATTAAAATCTTTACTATATCGAGAGTTCACTATAACGAGAGTGACTTGTATATTTTGCCAGTTTTATCAATTGGTTATATTTCGCCAATTTCCCCATTTTTTCAGTTAATCACATTTTACCAGTTTCGTTACATTTCACCAGCTTTGTCGCATTTTACCAGTTTCGTTAGTTTTTTAAATTTTACCAGTTTTACTATGCTTTACTAGTTTCATCAGTTCATCATATTTCGCAAGTTTCGCCACATTTTACATATTTGTCAGTTCACTATATTTCACTTTTCAGAACTTTTTTTTAGCAAAAGTTGAGATTCTAGCTTCGACTTTTGCCAATGCAAAGCCCCAAGTCTCACTTAACATCTACTGGGTTGGTAAAAAGTAACTAAATAGTGACCTTTTTTTAAACTATTGATTATCACTTAACGTTTATACCAGTATTATGTAGATATAATAAATAATTATAGAAGTTCAATATTAGCAGAAATAGTAAAATAGGTCACTGTTCAGTTACTTTTCACCAACTTGGTATACTTGAGGACCAGGGAGAAATGCAAGTGTCGAAATCATATTTGTTATAATATAGAAAAGTGTATTAGTTATGTTTACAAATAAAAATGACAAAACAACTATAAAAAAAAGAATTATACTCCTCTAAAAAAACTACCACAAGGATATTTATAATATCACTACAACATAATCACAGCTCCTCAAAACAAAATCATTCCATTAATAACAATAGATCACTACAATGATGAAGCAACACTATCTACAAGAAACATCTACTTAAAAATGAGTAGTTAGATATATGTGCAAGCTGATAAAACTAATAGCAAAATCTACCAAGCAACAAGCCCACTTACAAAATCACGAAAAAGGCTTCAAGAAAGGTGACAGCACCAGGAAAAATAATGGTACCAGGAAAAGTGACAATACCAGAAAAAGAGATCAGAATCAATGCTACCAGAAAAAGCAACAATATCAAAAAAAAATGATAGCACTAGAAAAGCGACAACACCAGGAAAAGTGACAACACCAGAAAAAGAGATCAGAATCAATGCTATCAGAAAAAGTGACAGCACTAGGAAAAATGATGGCATTAGAAAAACGATGGTACCAGGAAAAGTGACGATACCAGTAAAAGCAATGATACCAGAAAAAGAGATCAGAATCAATGCCACCAGAAAAAGTGATGACACCAGGAAAAATGACATTACTAGGAAAAGCGACGACACCAAAAAAGTGATGACACCAGAAAAGCGACGATGCTTTTAACTAAAAAAAAAAAATTAGATGAAAAAAAAGATTATCAATTTATATTAGTATTCTGATTTAGCTAAACGTGTGTTGTTACATAAGACCTGTGAAATAATATAGTTTATTTAAATATATATAATTAATACACAAATAACTTGAATGATATATTCGAATTATTTGAGTTACTAAACACTATAATCGATTGTAATTAATGCTAATTGATTTTAATCAATGCCAATCGATTTTAATTAAATCAATTCAAATCGATAAACTTGATGCTAATCGATTATAATCTTAATCGATTCTAATCGCCAATTTTATTGCCAATCGATTTCAATCTACCGTACCACACTACCTTTAGTATCCGGCATGACAAATAATGCAGATCAATTTTTACAATATTATTTATGTGTGACATGTGATGTAAACAATTGTGTAACACATGTGATTTTTAATTTTTCACTATGTAAAAAACTATGTCACACCGGGTACTAAAGGCAGTGTGGTACGATATATCGGTAATAACCCACAGGGGTGATCCTTATCGATTGCCACCTTAGGGTATTAATTGATATCTGCTTTATTTAAAAATTTTTTTTTTTTTTTTTAACGTCTACCCTCTTGGGAGCTAGGATTTTTATTCAAGTATATATAGCGAGGAGTTCTCTAGGGAACCCCCTACATTAGAGAGTACATACTAGCCACACATACACTTTTAGTGTCTAATTTAAGTA